CTCTCTCTCTCTCTCTCTCTCTCTCTCTCTCTCTCTCTCTCTCTCTCTCTCTCTCTCTCTCTCTCTCTCTCTCTCTCTCTCTCTCTCTCTCTCTCTCTCTCTCTCTCTCTCTCTCTCTTTCTCTCTGTCTCGTCTCGTGCAACGGAAACGCAATCCTCTCAATCGCTCAAGGCTGCGACGAACTCGCTGGGGCCGAAATGAACTCTCCTACAAACGTCAACATTTACTTACAACTCGGATATTGCTCGCAATGTGCAGCTAGATCTAATTTTTCGAGATGAATCTCATGATAAACTCGAAACACTCGCGGAAGCTCTTCCTTTACTCTCGCAATCTTGCCTCTCTTCGATATTATTGATTTGCTGGACAAATATAACGAAAATAAACTATCTGATGGACAACGTCTGTTCACAATTGGCTTTTGAATTGTAAGGGAGACAATTATTTCGAATATGTTTACAAGCTCGCAGAAGAATATCGACTTTAATTTGATATTGACAAATTTGCTACATATTATTATATTATATTGAAAAGTATTATTTTTATTCATCGGCTAAATAATATTTGAAAAATGCAAAACCTGCAGGCAAATGTTGGACTTCAAATAAGTAACTCGAAATAGGAATATTATAGAAATTTTACGCCTTTCATGCGCGATAAAATAAACGTTCACCGGATGTTCGCCTAATTGATTAATTGATTAATTCCGATTAAATGGCGTTGCGTTAGTGTAATTAAAAATACGCCCTGCTCTCTGACATTCATTTATATTAATACAGACGTTATAAACGATGCATCGAAATAGCGTTCGTTACGTTTTGCGATTCCGTTTTCATTCCGATGCGGTATTTTCCATATGAATATTTTGTTGATAGTTTATGATATAAATATCGCAATAAAATTAATAGCTGCTCGTTTTCTCGTGTCTGCAAATGTTACAATCCCGTTCTTTGAAGTGTTGCCTGCTATGGAAGAGAAATATCAACCCCGAAGGAATGTCTATCTTGCGAAATGCGAGATACATTGTGCAAAACGTATGTTAAACGTATGATAAAAATGTAACGGTAAAAATCCATGGTACAAAGAATCTATAATAGATCTTTCTTCCTCAAGGAAAAGAAATAAAATTTTTTTTATAATTCCAGGGATAGACATTCGAGATTGGTAGCTTCGTTAATATTCGGTATAACTGATATTCAAAGCTTCGCGGAACTTTTATTGAAAATAATTTAAAAAAAAATAACAGTGACGGTCTCCACTCGTGTAGAATTTCAGAGTATAATTTTCTACAGTAAATCCCTACGTGGATTTACCGCCGTGATATGTTCGGCGATGTCAATCAATGAAATTTTTATCCATCCGAGATATGCTTTCGAGCGATAATTTTCGATATGTTTCCAGTCGTCGATATCCGTGTTCAATTGTATTTGCACGACTCGACGTGACGCCGCGCCATGAACGTTTGCGTAATCGTAACTGGGAAAAAGTATTGTCTACTCCAATCAATCTGGATTTACTTCGTCAAGGTGAATTTAGGTCGCGAGAAGGGTTCTCTCGATTGAGTGCCGACACGACTGCAGTTGCAATCGTTGATTACGAATCGCGCCGTTAAGTTTTTCAATTGTAATTTACTTTACAATTTATTTAATCTCCAATATGCAATATGTGTAAATAAATTGCACATTCCCGAACCGAATAACAGATCGTAATATACGCGTTAAATAAATCTTTAGATATGCTATTATTAAAGGAAGATTAAAATTAGAGAATTATCGGAGAACCGAAAAAAGAATTGAAATTTTTTATATATATTATTTATTAAATTTTTCAATACAGCTGTGACTTTTAATGGAATATATTAATCTTGTACATAACTACGTTGTATAATAATAGAAGAATTGCGATCGTGCAAAAAGCCAGTCGCTCGTGAGCAATCATGTGACACAAGGGAAATATGGAAAAAAAACTGATCGGTTATTTTCTTACACTGAATGGTATCTGAAGTGCGAGCAATAGCCAAGAGAATAATTTTTCTCGCATGTTGCATGTTGAATTTATTGTATCACGTTCATTGGTACTTTTTATACAGCATTAACGATAATAATAATCAATTTTAATATAAATTCTATTTATATTAAAAGTAACATGCCGTGGATAATTAAATCGCTTCATTAAAAGCATTTGACGTTGTTAAATATGGAGGAATTGGAACGGTGTCATATTTGTGCAGAGTGCTCCGTGATTCCGTTACACTTTTCCAGCTTGCGCAGATTGACGACCTCGTCGGCGGCTCGCAAAGAATGGGTGAGAGATATATTTTACCTCAAGACAAATTAGAGAATAAAGAGCGAATTCCGCGCGTGGCGCGAACGCCCGCCAGATATCGCCGAAGCTCGTTTTGAGCACGCTCGAGAATTTAATTGCTAGCGTTCTTAAGATTCTCAGCGGAAGTTTCTTTTCTGTGCCACTACACGTCTTCATTCTTCCGATCGTGGGGCACCCCCTCCACCCCCGCTAACATGTTTGCGATTCTATTCTCGTTCTAAACGTGCTGACATTATTTGCCCAACTCTTTCCTCTTCTTTTTTCCGTATAAATTTATTTTCATATAACCCGTCCACGTAGAGAGAAGCGTATATCTTGGATCATACATTACGCGTCGCATTTCTTCAAGAAGTCTTCTTCATTCTTCTCATGACGAAAGATATTATCACATTTCTGTAGAATTCTTCCCTGCGATTTTTTCATCATATGCGTACAAGAGATTATCAAATTAATAATAATAATTTAATTTTACGGCATGCATATGAAAAGTATTTTTTTTGTTCTATGAGCTTTCTGAATTAAATTGTAAACTTTGAAGAAAAGGATATTTTTAATTTTGCTTTTGCCTCGTTTTCCCTCTGTTTCTCCCTTTTTATTCCTCTCTTCTTCCTTTCGTGTATAGCACGACGACATTTTAATTCGTCTCTCTATCGGATCAACGGTGTCCCGCTCATGTATCGTGTATGAATATTGCATAAACGCGACGCGCAATTTTCCCTGTGCATCGTCGGATTGACAAATTTACCGCGGACGCGTCGGTGGAACTTTGCGGAGTGGACACCTCGTTAAAGATCGCTATGCAACTCGGTTAGCTCGGTTAGGAAGCTACATCCGATTTTCTCTATCGCAAATAGATAAGCTGTCGAGTAATTTTCAAAATTGAGATGACGCTAATTTAGGAGAAGCTTCAGAGAACCTTCAGTAAAAGTAAATTATACGAACAGTTATTGATACGATTGAGAAAAATATTTTAAACATAACATAAATTAAACATAACATAAATTAAAAAATATTTTAAACATAACAAAATATTTTAAGCA